TAAAATAGAACACACTGAAACATCTCCAAAGCTGACTGGCCAAAAAACTCAAGGGAAAAAAAAAAAAATAGGAGAACCTTGGTCTGCCAGTAAGTACCAATTAGTATCTACGGCCTCACAGCTCTAAAATCATCCAGGGATAAGAGATTGCAGCTACTTAAGATTAGTGGAAGAAAGACTTAGCAGCAAATACAGTAAGATACCCTTGGAACACAGTCTGACTAGACCCAGTTATAAAGCAGCATACCAAGTTCTCCTATGTAATGCATATGAACACATCCTGTGAGTATTTATCTGATGATAGAGGCCAATTGCATTCTTGGGGTTTTGTGGTGGTTTTTTGTCAGCTGCCATTTATTTCTTGTTCCAAACATTCACCAGAAATCAGGATTTTTTCCAAGGGATTTGCACCACCACTCCTCCAAGTTTTAATTTTGTTTCTGCTTTCCTCTTGGTAAACTCTGAAAGTTTTCATCAGATTTGAGGGTGCAGTATAGCACTGTACTAACACTTCTCAACACCATTGTTCAGCAGTCAACCCAATACGACAGTACAGTGAATTGGAATTCCTCAGTAGACTAAGCACAAGCACTTTTTGTATTTGCTGTCAAAGTGCAAATAGATCTCAGACTTCTATTTCCAAGTCAATCCCCATCCCAGTGGCAACAACAGCATGCTAATCCCACATAGCTGCTTACAGGGACCAACCCAGCCCTTCAATCTTAAAGTAAAAGCCTTTAATGCTTCAGTTAAATACAGATACAAACCTGCTTACCTTCATGTGTAACCCAACCATGGCAAGAGCAGCATTATATGATGGCAGCACCAAATAAAAGCAGAAAATACATATATATATATAACATATATATATATTTACACACGTACGTACACGGTTGCCATCACCAACGTGAACAGCTTTCCTACCAGCTTTAATAGAAAGCAATGCTTCAGCCATGTGATCACACTTCTCCTTAGACAACAGCCTCACAATGCCAAGTTTCTCATTTGACACATAGAGGAAAATAAAAAGTTACTATCTTGCTTTTCCAGCAGGTAACAAAGAAAAGTCTCAAAATGTAAGGTATCAGCTGCAATTAACATAGTATCATCCCAAGACTAGCATAAACAAGATAAAGGCTGGGTCAGATCTAGGCTTCCATTCATACTAAAGAGAAAAACCCAAGTTCAATCAAGGTTAGCCTCAATACTCATCACTGACGGAAGTTAACTTGCAATGTTCTGTGGGGTTTTGGTTTAAATTTTGGGCCAGCATTTATTTGGGGTATTTTAGTTTTTTGTGTTTGAAGATTTTTGTGTCTGTAAGCAAGAACATTTTCAGCAAAAGGAGATTTTTCAACTCTATGTTAGAATGGTAAGATGTAAACTATCATAACAGCCTGGAGCGGTTTCCTGGGATTTGGGAAACAATTATTAACTCCTGCAATATTTGCCTGCACCTTAACAGAATATTCCACACCTCTTTTTCAAAGGCACTGCCATTTTAGCAGCCTGCCTCTGCCAGGGAAGTTACATAGCAGAACTGGCTTACTGAGCAAATGACACATCTCAAGCACAGGAGCCCAGACACTGCACCCTCTCTGCCTTGTTTACTGCAGTCATATATTTGGCACAATATTTTGTTTCCTACTTGCTCCTGCAAGCATTCCATCTAGCACCACTGAAACACCCAAAACACAATGGCAGCGTTGCAACCCCCGGCAGACAAAGGGGGCTCGGAGCAGCCGCGGGACAGGAAGCCACGTTCAGCCCTGGATTTCCACCCTGAATTGAAGAGGGTTTAGCACACATTCAAAGCAGTGCTTTGGAATGCCAGACACAGCACAACTCCACCAGTGAGACACAAGGACTGTCTAGCAACTAACAGAAAGCTTCCCCTTCCCCCACAGAAAAGCTAGCAGAGAAAAACTTCCGAGAGCTAATCAAGCTATTCAAACACTATCTGTATATTGCTCCCATTCCTTCTCTTTCCAAGGGAAGCCTCAATGTAAAAATTTAAGTGCTTTGTACAACTGTACTGCTTGCAAAATGAGCCCAAAAGAGATTAAACTTTTATCTGAAGCTGGAATAAGTGTAGTACTGAAGAGTAAAACAGCATGTTTTTGCTGTGGTTTTCAGGAGTGGTCAGGAGAAGAGAATTTATTTCTCATGCACACACGCTTCACTCATGCAGTGCACCTCACGATAGAATTTACAAGTAATTTTCCTTTTTCTGGTTTTATTATATGCACTTCCAAGACTTATTTTAATATTTTAGGGCTAGAATGATTGCAAGAATAGCATCTACCAAGAGAAAAATCATAAAGACGTAATTCATAAAAGAGACAGAAAATTTGAATTTTGACTTTGGCTCCATCATGGAATTGCTGAGGGAGAATTGAGAAATAATTCAACTTGAAAGCATTTTCACTTCCCCTTCCCAAAATAACCTTTTAATAGCATGCATGACCCTATGGTCACTGCTGTTTACAATGCCTCTCGAGAGCCTCAGAATAGATGCCCCACAGAGTGAGATCATTATTTTCACCCTCATTCCATATTCCATTCTCTCAGACATCACACCCTTATGACAGTTTCCACTGCAAATATATTCACATATGTAATCAACACCTCCCAAAGGGGATGAGAGCAGGACAGGAAAAATGATCTCAGATGTTTAATTGCTTTAAGTCTGTGATGGTTTTGCATGTTATCTGCTTTGGCAATGACTGGCAGTGGAATGTTACCCATCAGCATGGCTTGTGGCTGTGGGAAGAGACAGGTTATGACAGCATAAGAAAGGGGACCGGAAAAGAATGCTAAAGCATCATCTCATACCAGGCAGTGATTTTGAATTGGTGATTTAAGTGTAATTTGATGAAGAAAGTCAGCTTGAGTTGTCAATAATTACCATTAGGCATCTAATTGCACAGAATTAGAACATGTTAAACAGACCAAACCCCTTTTGGTATGGTTTGAAAACTGTTTCTAGCAATATTTCCCTCCCCTTCCCTGCAAATGATTTGCTTCCTGCCAAAACAAACAAAACCCGAAGGCTATCATCTTTAGTTCCTCAAAAGTTTACATTAAAGACAACTTTTTCACAGATAATTCCTCTTTTGTGGCACTTCATTTCATCAAAAGTTAAAATAAGTTATCAAATGTGCCTCTAATAGCTCTGCACTTGCAATCTTCCCCTTTTGAAAGGGCTGTGAGTTAAGATCACCTAGCCTCTCACCATGTACAATCCTAATGTCTAGAATCGTATTTATCATGTCCAGCAGGAGACTATGCCAAAATTAAAGCACCACAGGCATTTCTGCCACTCTATGTCACCTGTTTGGAATGTGCCTGCTGCTGTTTCATGGGTTAGAAACACATGAGGGAAGAGCTTAGATGACAGATCCATTATTAGATACTTTTAAAACACTAGCCAGGTGAACGTTTAAAATAGTTACATATAGTGAGTAACATGTAGATGCTTGAATAGCTAAAATTCAAAACCTTTTTCCCACAGAAACAAACTTAAGTGATTGCTTTACCCAGGAAGTCTAAGAAGCAAGGTATGCTATAAATGCCTTGCTGATTTGTGTCCAAGGCCATTGTGTCTCCCTTCCCTCACAGCTCCTGCTTCGGTACTCAGATATATCCAGCTTTCCCAAGAATAATAATTCTCATCTTCCCCTTATGACCTCTTTCCTCATTTTATGTAGCAAAACTTATCCAGATATGGTCTGAACTACCCTAACCAGAGAGGCTGTGGATATCCCATCCCTGCAAGTGTCCAAGGCCAGGCTGGATAGGGCTTGGAGCAACCTGGTCTAGTGGAAGGTGTCCCTGCCCGTGGCAGGGAGTGGAACAGGATGAGCTTTAAGCCCAGGACACTGGGCTGGAATGAGATGGTTCTTAAGGTCAAACTCAACCCAAGCCATTCTGTGATTCTATGACCACTGCCTTCCAGAACAGCCCCTATACAGTGTTGATGTTACAGGGGAGCAGGTAGAAATCTGAATCTGCAACAGTTCATTTACACACCAAGGGTGACTATAACCTGGAAATGGGTTTCATTTCAAAAAGGGTATAGGGAAAATGAGAAGGAGTCTAATTCAAGTAAGAAACCAACTCTTTTCACTGTTAGAGTGACAATATCTATACAGAGAGAGAAGGCTACTATCAGAAATACATTTCTGCTTTCCTGGGTGACTGTGTGATAAATTCAGTGTGCTTTCCCCAGAAGTACAGTCCTGCTTATTTCACTGGCTGTATTTGTGCAAAAGCCAAAGTGACTTGCCCTGGAATCCTGTCACTGCTGCCAGTCACAGCAGAATAGATTTGTTTCTTTAAACTGCCTGGTCTCCTCCTCCATCTCCAGCAAAAAAGCACTTAACAAGTATAAATGTGTGAATTCCTCAGAAGTCACTCCAAAGGGAAAAAAACAAACTGTTCTTCCCACTCAGAAACAAAAGCTTTAGTTGCACTTTACTGTGTTTCCTTCCAAAAGGAAACCTTTTTTTTTTTTTTTAATTTAGCATTTACAAATAAAGTATTACAGGTCTCTGTGGACTCAGGTTCAGGTGTACAGAGGTTTGCTGGAGATTAAGGGACACTAATGACACATACATGCTCCTAAAACTAAACCTGGAAGTGGAAAAACAAATGGAATTGGTTTCAGCTGAAGCTGACACTACTCATGCTTTGAAAGCTGGATTGAAGCTCACAGATCATTTTTGCTGAAACAGCAGAAGAGTGCACTCTCTTAGTGGGAGAGTTCAAAAATCATTAGTTTGTCTATAGTACCTTTTTTTTTAATTTGTCCTTAAGAAAGCCTGTTTTTAAAAAAAAAAAAATTAAAAATAGCCTTATTCTATTGGAAAATAGCAATTGTTTCCCTGTCCTTCACAGAAAGTAGCTGTATTTATTTTCTAGTAGTCCAATGTCTGGTAAACACTGCAACAGCTGCAAGGACGGGAAAGGGAAGAGAAAGGAGAGCGAGTTATACTGAACACTGATTCCATTCACATGTTTATTTGAACTTAGGAGCTGGCAGGGAAGATGGTTCAAACTTCTCTTAAGGGGAAAGTTTGTCAGTAATAAATGCCCAGCTAGGAGCCACGGTTATTGTTACAAGTAACAGAATGCTGGAAGTAACAAACAAGCAGAAATGAGTGGCAAAGAACAGGGGTGGGAATAATGTATCTTTTGGTGGCATTTGCAGCTTTAAGGTCACAATGAAACAAGGTCCTGTGAATCTTATTCACACAAAATTTTCAGACAAAAAAGGAGAACAAAATAATGTTACTAATGCTAAGTCAGAACCTAAAGGTCAGAGTGCTCTCAAGACAAACACTATACTATAAAACCTTTATTCATATCTCACACATATAAATATGAAAACTCTGGCTGGCTAACTAGTAAAACCAGAAAAAAATTCTCAGTTGCCTATACAGGGCAGGGTGGGTTTCCATCTCACTCCAGAGAATCTTGTTTCTATAAAAATTTAAATTCTGGCAGAGGCCAAGTTGAAGCTATCACACAGCTTCTCATAAAGCTTAACAAATGCACACAAAACAACAAAAAAATGCAAGGGGAAGACATTTATCACGTATGTGGACATTCAGAGGCAACTGGAAATACTCAAACTGTAGAGAGGAAGAACATACAGGAGAGAATTACAACTTTTTTCAATGACATCACCCATAGATTTCATACTGCTTGGAAGCTCTTCAAAGATGGCAGCATATCACAGGAATGGCAGTGCACAATCTCACTGCTTCCTCCTGCACAGCAGGATGAGTCACAGCACAGCCAGAAACCTCGTTTGATTTTGAGCTTCTGGAATAACCTCTATGCCATACATCATGAAAGAAGAACAACAAATTAGCCATATCACTGGATAAACTAACAAGTGGCAAAAGCACACTTAGACCTTTAAGTCACAGTACCTAATAATAAGCAACATAAGAGCATCTTCTCTTCCCTCCACACCTTTTACAGCTCTTCCACAATTCTTTCCTTTTCCCCAAACTACAGATCTCACTGGAGTTTCTGCTACATTTGATTTCACTCATCCCAGACACTGAAGCAGTACAAAATAAAACAGTAACCTCTTTATGGTAACTGCATCCCATCTACCTTTTTATTCTTCACCTACAAGTTAGACACGATTATCCCTTCTCTCCTAAGACCACAATCCTGTCCAAGAGCTTTAGAAGGTGTGGGTCACAGGGAGCTACCTGGGACCTAGCATTGATAAGCTTTTGCCAGTTGGCCTGCTGCAACTGAGCAAGGTGATCCTGCTTTCCACACACATCCCTGCCCTTTCTTGGGGCTGCTGTCAGTACCAGTGCCACTCATCTCCATCATATCACCACTTCAACTGACCTCACCAGTACCTATTCAAGCAAAAAAGGGAGTCTCAAGCAGGCTTCCCCCCACCTCAATATGGATTTAGAGTAACATCTCATCTCAGGGAGTTTTATTTTCATTGCAGTTTCAAATAAGGCTGTATAAAGGCTGCTAACAAAGAAATGTGTCCCACATCCTTTACACTCCCCTCCTGCTTTTGGGACAACTAATCACAGGTCTCACAGGGTGAATACAGAAAAGCACATCATCTACCAAAGAAAAATGTCTTCCCATAAAATAAGCTCACTGATACAGCTTGTCCTTTTGGCAAGCATGGCTAGGTAAGAGTAAAGGAAGAAGGAAGGAAACACAACAAACGCTTTCTGGTGACAGCCCACGGAATTAGATGTCATGGTCACCAGCAGAATAAAGATTTAAACTATTGTTCCAGGCACCTTTACTATTTCTTGTAGACATCTACAGAAAGATAGATGCCTTCTCTTCACATCATTAAGACAATATCATATTCTTTATTATACCTGACTTGTCCTCCTAAATGAAGGAAAATACCAAAACAGATTAAAAAAAAAAAAGCACGGATACCTGAGCACCCACAAGCTGCAGCAAGGCTGAGTTCACAGGAAGGAGTTCGATGTCTGTGTTGATAGTGGTCTGGTCAAAGGGACATGCCTTACGGTGGAGCTTGTTGAGGCACATCTTGCAGACAGTGTGGCCACAGCCCAAGCTGATGGGCTTGCGGATCGTTTCGTCGAAAGTCTGTGTGCAAATCGGGCAGGAGAGAAAATCCGTCCATTGTGGAGCTTGTACAGGCATTGCTTCAGGAGTTAATTGACGAGACAAAAATCTAAAGTACAGATTCCACTGGAATCAAAATTTTGCAAAAAAGTCTGTTTGGTTTTAAATATCTTCTGTAAGTACAGACAGTCTGCACATAGTGTGAAACATAACCTAGAAGAAAACAGAAACACAATGTTAGCATTCTGTACTAGAACAGGCACGTGAGCTCCTTTGTGCTAGGGAAGTGCCACTTATCGAGGTGTAGCTGAACTAGGAGTGCTGACATTAAATGCAGGACTGAGTCACGACTTGCTTTAATTCCAGCTAGTCTCTGGCTCTGGAAAAGCCAGTGTAAACCATTTCTGCTGCTGTACAGATCAAAATAAATCAAGGAAGATAACCATCACATTGAAGTTATAAAACTAATTAACCTTTAGGTTTTTGTTCTCTCTTTAAAAATGAGCAAATTGACATCAATAAAGTGTTAATAAAGAAGACACTTCCACTAATCCACTTTTGTACACTATCTACTGTACAAAATAATTCAATATTTAAATCATTTTGCTTAGACAAGGCTTCATCCAAAGCCTCTATCAAAAGCAAACGTTTCTTCAGAGTCCCGTGGGCTCCGGGTTGGCACACAATGACACCAAAACGTGCGAGCTGCCCAAGGTTCAAGGTGGACAGGAGAAATGGCTCAGGGTCAGTCAGACACTGCAATACAGCTCCCACACGGCACCAGTGATACCATGTGCTGCTACTACACACCTGCACACAGCCTGGGATGGACTGAGCTGTATGGTAACACATGGACCCATCCACACGTATCTCAGTTACCATGGCAATCTGCATGCACTCCTGCTGGAATTCAGCACTTGCCCTCTGTCTGCCATTCAAGCATCTCCATCCTTCAAAACACGAACCACTTCTAGTAGTCATTTATGACTGGATGACTGACAATTGTTCCTGAACTGTTCCTTTTGTAACCTCAATTTATATCATTCACTCCCTGCTTAGACATTATATTGGTAGAGAAAGCAACATCTTTACTCTATTGAGAACCACCCTGAAACTACAATAGAAGAAAAGCTTGGAGGTCTTTATTACTTGACACTCTCAAATCAAAATATTAAGAAGATCAGATGTTACTCATAAGGGAATGGAAGATAAGATATCCCTTTAGGGACAGGAAAAAAGCAGAACTCATATGAGGAGAAATGTAGAAGAAAAGATGGATCACATGACATGCAAAAATCATCAGCAAAAAGAAAATTGGTAATAAAATAATTTCTGATGTCTGGCTTACTTTCACCAGTGGAATCTGGGAAGAAAAAAAGTGCAAGTCACTGATTCATAACCAATTTTTCTAAATCAAGCAGCAAAATGACAATAAAAACCCCACCCAAACCACCCATATATACTAGTTTCTCTTTCCCACACACCACTGGCTTCAGTTTCAAACCAAGGACTGCACACTTGCTTGCTAGTATCTGTTCTGACAGGAAGTTCTTTCACAAGCAAAATAGCGACCTTTTATCAAATGTTAAGCTCAAAAAACGTTTACAATTAAAATCTAAATTCTAAAGGCAAAGAGAGAAACTTTATATCAGGAATGCAATTCAGAGTCAAAGCATTTTAAAACAGAAAAGAAAATCTAATATAAATAAAGACTAAAATAAAGACTCTGAAAAGTCTCTGCTACTTTTTTCAGGGAAAAAAAGGCTTCTTTTTCTCAGAATTTAGTGCAATGTTTTTCACAGTTAACATTATTTTGCCAAGGTAAACAATAAGTGTTACTAGTTAAGCTTTTAGCTGAGTTTCATCAAACACCTAACCTTAGCTCTAACACTTAGGAAAAGTAGTTGTACTGTGATGGTCCCTCTGAGTCACTTCCTACTCAGGATGCTTCAGGACTCTAGAGAAAAAACAATTATTTCTCTCTTCAGAAGACAATATACAATGCCACACAGCCTCTGGTTCCCAGCCAATAAGGAGTCAATAAAAAAATCAGAATTCCCCAGCCAGGGTGGCACAAAGAAGAGGCACTACATGTGGTTAACCCTACCACCACCATTGCACAATGACAGGATGTCAAGGTCGTTCAGGGCTCCCCCTTCCAAAATGCCTCTTTAATGGCGAATCAGTTCATTTTTTCCATCTTGTCTGCATAGAGTCAAATCATTCCCACTACTAATGTATCACCACAACCCAAATTAAATCTTCTATACTTTCAGGTTACTTCACTGAGAGATGCTATCCTAAAACATGCAGCAAATTTATTTCCAAGACTTCCCTGGCTACCTGTCCTCTTATATACACTGAGCAAACTTTGGTAACAAGCATTCAAGATAGAATTATTCTTTGTAAACCAAATCTGCAGAAACTCCACAGAAATCCTTCTGCAAAGAGCAGTACACAGCTCGGTAAATCTACTGTATGTATGGCTGTGCTATGAAATATCCTTTGGGGATCAAAACTTCAGAACTGAATCATAGCTCTTCCTTTTGACCACACTGCCATTAGAATATCTAGCAAGAATTCCTCAGGCTCCTGTGCAATCCAAAAACAAACTGAACAGTCAATTTAAAACAAATTATTAGCCAAGCATTCAGGAAAAGAAGTTTTTCATTAACTGAGGAGACTTAAAACAGAAGCTAACATGAAGCTGTACCATCAAGTCTAGAAAGCAGTTGTGAACATGGAGATGCCACTATCCCAAGCTGTGAACTGGAAGAGAAGAGTTTAATACAACTTTAACGTTAGTTAATTAAAAAACTCCAGTAAACAGAGCCATGTTGTTGCTACCTGTACCTGTGGCATAATGAAATAGGTCATATTTATTTACAAACTCAACAGTTGAAAGAGAAGTTTGGGGAGTCTGGAGATGGAAGGACTAATTAGTGGCATCCATGATCCCATGTCAAGATAGGTTTCAAAAGGCTGGGGAACAAGGGAAGCAAAGCTTATAAATAAGCACAGCCCTCAGAGACTCTACAGTGTCCGAGATTGTGTCCTGGTGCCTGAATGCCACAAGAAGGCCACTGACAATAGAACACAGAGCTGTGAGAAACCTCAGAAAGCCATCTATTTCAGCACAGTCTAGCTGCTGCAACAGATGGCTAACTGGTGTGATGCAGCCAACCTGCTCCCCACAGAAGAGAACAGCTGTTGGAACAATAACCCTGTGCTACTATTGAATCTTCACAGCAGATCAGCACAAAACTGGAAATTCCTCTGATCCCACACAAGATGGGAATGGCATCACAGGGACTGAGGATTCACAAGCCACATGCACCAAACCAAGTACTGCTGCTGGTGCCATAGCTTTCCACATACATGGTCCTGTTTTCCCGCCAGATCTTCAAACTTCCAACAAGGGAGCAGAGCCCTGTGATGGGATACAATGTAAATCTCTTAAAGCACAAAGCTTACAGAGGTAGAGACGTGAAGCTGCAGAAGATACCTATGTCTTGTATCAAGGTTTGTGACTCACTATGACCTTGGAAATAACTGGGGAAAAAAAACCCAAACAAACCAGTCTCTGACTTCAACGAGCTACTTTAAACAGGAGACATTACAAACAGTAATAAAACAGTGGAAATAAGACAGTTTCATTATCACTGTCTGCTACTGGAACCATCCCCACGACAGCAAGAGAACACTTTTTGAACATGTACAGTAGGAAAAGTATATTCCCTTTTATAGTACAAGGCTTTTTTTTTAAAAAAATGTTTCTCTTCAGCATTATACCAAAGCAAGCAAAACATAAAGAATGCAAAAATTTATAAAAGACGTAACTACTTAAATAGCCCTCCTCCCCATAATATTACATTTTAACCCACCCTCAACTCACTAAGTATTCCACTCAATAGCTTCTGACACTGTAACATGTATATCCATACACACTGCTTTGTGCATGATTGAAGAAAATAAATATATCAAAACCCAAGAAAGCAAAAAACTAAAAAGACACATCCACAGTACATAAACTGGAAGACAAAAAGGTGTAATTAAGAATGAAGATACCCTAAGACACAAACCTTGAATCCTACACTGAAACTAGAGACAGAGTGATTTTGTTATTTCTGAGTTTAAATACCTGTTTGCAAGTCTCATCCTCCTGTTTAGCCTTGCATAAGCTGTTTTACCCACATCTAGAACTACCTGGAAAAATTTCTCCTCTCTTCTGGTCTCCCAGCCCCAAAAAATCCTTGAAATTCCATCCTTCAACCCAGACTGGAAATGTCACGCTGTAATCAGATCAGTGACCTGTCTCCTCTGGGACCCTGCCAGTGCTTCAGTTTATGATTATTCCATAAACCACTGGAACAGCCACTCAATCCTTGCTCTGCTGGACTACAATGCAGAGGCTGACGTAGCCTTGTGTCCAAGCTGTGCTATGTGTGTGGCAACCAGAGTCTTCCACATGTTCTTTGCAGATACAACTCCTGACAAAAAGATGTTTGTAAAATGCAGAACAGTCTGTACCAACATCCACTGGCATCCAGTTTAACACAGAATGACACGCAGGAAAATTCCTCTGCTTTCAGTTTCAATTAAGTGCATTCTCCGAGGGAATCCTTCGGTGCAGGCTCCAAGCACACCCCAAATTCTCTCACAAACACCTTATTTGGACCCAGCATGCTCTCACATGGACACATCACATGCTGTTTCATCACTACTGAGTTGGCACTGCTCTCTCCCAGCAGCAGTCCATACTAAGTTATGTCACAGTTTAGGCAGATGACTCAGCATACCTAAGAGGCACCCTTGGCTCAGCTCCTGCCAATTCAGTAGATACAGCTCTCAAGAGTATTACTCACTCCTGAGTTTTATGTATTCCCATAGCATTTCAGTACCCAAACAGTATCATCACCCTCTTAACCAAAATTTGGTTAAGCTGAAGCCATTTCATTTTTGCTGAGTCCTACTCCTAGCTAAATCAAACGGAGCTTCCCATTGCAGTTACCAGGGAACACAAGTAAAGCCTATTTAATGCTAAGCTTAAAGTTACAGCAGTTCCTCAGAGCCAAAACAAACTCAGGCTTGCCAACTGAACTGCTCACGCAGATACAACTCTTGAGTAATCATTATTTATTCTAATAAAGAAAACACAATTTCACTAATTCTTTTAAAGACTCTTACTCCTTGATAATAACTTACACTATTCCGAGTAGAAGTTACTTTTTCAGAGAAAAAGTAACCAGGAACACTTCTCTCTTCTGTGAGACTGGTTCTGTGGTAGATTAACTACTTCAAAACCTCTCTGACATTTTGAGATTAAAAATAAATCAACAACCTAAATTAAATTAACAGAAAACAGTAAAGCAATTCCTAACTCATAAGGATCACCAGATATCCACAGTACAATTCTAGCCAGCAGGTGAACCTCCTCCATTCTTGTCTAGTGCCAAACAGACAAATTTTTGCTGGTGCTTCATAGAACTTTTCTGTTTTCTACTCCAGTGTGCTCACTGTAATAAACAGTATTTCTGAGGGCACTTAAGTAGCTTTCTTCTTTTCCCTGAACAAATACTTTAAAAAGTCCTAAATTTCATTTTAGGGAAAAACTGACTTGACAACCTATGGGAAGCCCTAACCACTAAAAAGTAATGTGTTTTTTTACAGGCACCCGGTACTGCCAACTTCATGGTTCACAGAAAAGGGTAAATCACTCTAGCAATGTTTTCCATATCCAGTTCCACAGAAAAACATCTGAAAATTTCTAAAGCGAGAGGGAAAGGCCATACCTGATCAGAGAAGAGTAGGTAGAAGAAAAAAGTTTCTTACCTCTGCCTGGTAAGCTCCATGAACAACACATACCATAAGCCCAGAAGACTATGTCTGACAGATTCAGGGTTTTTTTCCCCTTCCTGTTTGCTCTCTCAAACTTTTCAGTACACTCTCCGCTGGCAGCAAGTGCCCGACTTCCCCATTCCTGCTCCACGCATGCGTGTTGCCAGCACACGCCCAACACCACTGAACACTGCCCACAGCACAGAGCCCCAGCAAAGAAATCCCCTCCCAACACCAAAACCTGCAAGTCTGTACGCAATGCATATTCCCACCCTTCCTTCAAAGCTTCAGCTGCCTTCAGTAGCTGTATAATAAACCACTTAAAAAAAGAAGCAAAGATAAAATCATGAATATCATCAAAACTATGTCCCTAAGTAAGTGAAACTCAGTTAAATCAGACTCAAGATCTATTTTCTTTTCTCCTCAGTAATTTTTGACTGTGAAAACAAAGGGAGAAATTTTTGTAATTTCAGCCAAAAGTCTCTTACTTGGTAGAGTCAGTGAAGTACCTTAGGAAAATGGGGCCAGTTAAGGGTAAGATGTTATTCTTTATTTGAAGCTCCCTGCCTAGTAATAACACAAGAAAAACAAGAAAACCAAACAATCAACATCACAACTCCACCAGAGTACCTCCCCAACAGACGCTCTGAAAGCAATTTACAATGATTTAAGCTTCCCAACATCCTGTGAGGCAAGACCTCATGTCTTCCTACAGAAAACTGTTGAATTAAGTTATTTATATGGTGTTTAACAGGAAAAACATGGAATGAAACCTGATACATCATTTTTGAAATGTGATATATCATTTTCTTGACCCCTATTCTCACCCAACCACCATTAGAGTCACGAACATTAAAAGACAACACATGTACACAAAATTTAAGTGTTCTTGCTCATGCCCTCCAAAATATAAAACCTGCATGTGAATAAAATCATAAATTTTCAAGGAAGATAAACATATATCTTCCAGCTTCATACTTTCTGGTTGATATTATACATCCCTTACAGCTTACTTAAAAGAGGAAGTGACAATTCTTAAATAGCAAATGGTTTTATGATCTGCCACCAAGAAAATTCTTTCTACCAACAGATGATAAAGTCTAGGGAGTTAATAGCAGCCAACAGCTCTACAACATTCCTTTCACTTCAAATTACGAGTTCTTGCATTTGTCAATGAAAACTGTAACAGTAACATAATGATTAAACTAGTACTTTAAAAGTCAAGGAAAAACCAAACAGATTAAAAGAAAGGCAGAAGGCACTTTAAAAATCCACAGCAGTTTTCAGGACAGGGGCTTGGGTCCAACTGGTCCAACCCTCAAGAGCTCTCAACCCTGCTGTCACAAGGAGGCAAGCTAATAATTTGCTTTTCCCAGAGAAGACATGTTTGAAAACAGCCATGGCAAATAAAGAGGACAAGCTGGTAGAAGTCTTCAGATTCAAGGGTACAGACAGATATTACCTCTCAGTGTCAGCTAGGGAAGTCACTACTCTTTCTTTCTCATTCCTTCCTAAAATACTCCAACTGGACTGGTGACATAGTTGTCCCAGCTGAGTTTTAAACATAGATCTTTATTAATAAATGCAGGTAGGCAGAAATGTGGGTGGACAGCAATTACACAACCAATACCTCATTTCAACTACAACACGGCAACAAATCAGCCACCCAGCTCATCTAGAATAACTCCAAGTAGTAGACTTTATGAGGAAAAAGCAATTGAAGTGAGTATTGCTCTGGAGTAGTGTTCACCAAGACCAGTATAGTTCTTTTCAATGCAAGAATAATCTACAGCTACCTGAAAACTGCTACTACAGGCATCTGGCAGATGAAAATGAAAAGTAAGTTATGGAGAGAGGAAGATCTTGATGTCGCTGCAACACCTTTATCCTTCCTTAGTCATGAATCATTAAGAAGACCCAGCACTATTCAATGAAAAAGAAAGCATTAAGAAAAACAATCTAACAAAAAGATATAATATACTGCCTGCCATCCACTCTTCAGAAATAGCTTTTCTCCCCACTTAATTCAGCAGCTCTAGTTCTGCTTTGATGTCAGTGACACTACAGCTACAATAACATTACAACTGCAATGTCAAACAGTGAGATAGAAGGGCAGACTTACAGACTGGCTGGAGATACTGGTCAAAAACAATTCAAAAAAGCCCTCTAACCTAGAATAACACAACATTTAATAATTATCCCGCACCCCTTCCTCCCCAGGAGGGGATTCCTATTATGTAAGAATACTCTCTCCAAAAAGAAAAAATAATCCAGCATTTTTTCTTTTTTTGTGTAGTGTACTGTGAAAATATTACTAAAATTTTTTATTTGATAAACTTACAAGGTAAGAATCAAGCAATAGTCTGAACTTTCTACCCATCTCCTTCCCCTTAGGTCCATGTCCTGGCATTACACTTGTCACTCTCCTAATTTATTTATTTTCAAACTGACTGTCAGACTTAAAAAAAATCAAATCACATATGTCAAAAATTCCAGGTGCAATAGTAATAAAATGCTGAAATATACTGTAAGAGCAGTGTTAAGTGAATAGAAATGCTATTGCCCAGCACAGGCTTCTGTTTCATTGTTAATGAAAGTGTAAAATGGAAATGTAAAATCCCATTTTACAAAGAACTCCATAGTTATTCAGAAAACATTTTCAGAGTTCACCTGAAAACTTGAGTCTCAGGACTTCTTTATAGTATTTTCTTCTCACTTCTCTTTTCTCTGATTGGGAGGTGGCTTTTCTTGTAACTTAGTAGATGTCGCCCTAATTTTAAAAATAGATGTCAAATAGCTTCATGTTAATATATAATAAATACATAAAAAATGTATAATAAAGGCTGTTTACATAACAGTACTCTCTAATAAAATTTTAGTTATTCTATTTACCTTCAAAGCAATTTATTTTAGAAGACTGCATTTAAACATCAAAAAAATCTTTTCATAAAAGCCAAAAGTCAAGAGCAGTGAAAACTAATGAATTTTTTAACAAAACTACCAGTGTAGTTGCTTGCCTGCCTGTTGAATATACAACTTCATTTTAAACATTGTAATCACAAGAAGGGTATTTTTTTTCTTTATTACATACAAAGCCCCCTCTGGACTACTGCAATATTATTTCAAAAGGCAATGGAGCACCTAGTTTTTGTGGCACATACATTTTATCACAGCAGGAGCTCACAATGACAAAGAATATTTTTTCACCCTCTGAGCCTTATTATATTTCTATCCATTACACCATTCTCTCAAAGATTTTGGTACAGAATTATTGAACTATATCAGCTTTATGAAATCAGCTCCTCTACTTCATGCACCTGTTCAGTCAAGCATGTGATATAATTTCTGCATTATAATGAAATGGTATGGCATCATCAGCTTCAGGGAAAATATGCACATTTACAAACAACGTGCACAACAAATGCTTTTGTGCTCACCAAACATTGCAGTTTTACCAAAAAGTTGAGGCAGGCAGCCTGAGGAGTTGCTAAGACAAAATAATCTAGGTTTTCCTCATTTCTTTCCCAGATCAGTCAAGTGTAGCTGCTAAGAGAATAGTTAAACACTAATCAAACAAGTGCCCTTGTGGTCAAGAAGGCAAATGATATTCTGGGATGCATTAGGAAGAGCATTGCCAGCTCTTCCAGGGCTGACCCTGCCCCTTTGCTCAGTCCTAGTGAGACACATCTGGAAGTGCTGTGTCCAGGTCTGGGCTCCTCAGGACAGGAGAGACCTGGAGCTCCTGCAGCAGGTCCAGCAGAGGCTGAGGAGATGAGGAAGGGCATGGAGCAGCTCTCTCAAAAGGAAAGGCTAAGGGACCTGCAGCTGTTCTGCTTTGAGAGGAAACCCAGCTGAGAGGGGCCCTCATCCCTCTCTGTCCCTGTCTGCAGGGAGGGCTCAGAGCAAGGACCAGGCTCTGCTCCCTGGGACCCAGCAGTGGGACAAGAGACCATGGGCAGAAATTGATGCCCAGGAAGTGCCACCTGAATATGACAAAGAACTTCTTTCCTGTGCAGTGTCTGAGCACTGGAACAGAGACCAGAGAGGGTGTGGAGTGTCTCTCACTGGGGATATTCCAGACCTGTCAGGACACAATCCTGTGCCGTGTGCTCTGGGATGAACCTGCTTGAGCAGGGAGGTGGGACCTGATGACCCACTGTGGTCCCTTCCAACCTGATCTACTCTGATTCTCTGAAAATACTCAAGCTGTAAACAAAGAGTAAATCACAGCCACTACCTACAAGCATTATACTTCAAATGAGATTTAGCACAGCAGCAAGAGAATGTAATCTCTCCAAATAAACTAACATGTGTTAACCACCTCAGCCTTGTGAGGACCCAAGCATCCTGACTCAAATTTGCATTCTACAACCAAGGAAAACAGATATTGAAACTTTATCTATTTAGCATTTCCAGTGCATTTTCAAGCATAGGCTTAGAGCAGGGCAAGTTTAAACTACTTCACAGAAAGTCCTCTCCATGCCCATGCTTCATCTCTCCTAAGCTTATCCAAGACAAATTCCCTTCCTTCTCACATTCGCTTCTAAAAGGCTCCAAAAGATGTTCCAGACCTGTTAAATGGTTAAGAAGTCCTGGAAACAAGGAAAAAACTGTGGGAAGCACAGAAGAAGGAACTTCAAGGCAGACACTTTTAGCATCAGTAAACTTGTCAAGTTTTTAGGTGCAGTTTCATAAGCAGCTTATTTGGGCACAAGCAGGGCAACACAGACTTTTAATGTATTTCTTCATTAATGGAAGCCATCTTGAAAGTATTGACTAAATTTTAACTAGCTACCTAAATGCTAATCAGCAATCCTAACAATAAGGATGACTACACTAACAGGCTGGAATGATGAGAGTAGGTGAAATGGAATAAGCAATAATTTGTGGAATTATTACTTTATACTAAATCAACACTAAAATTATCCAATTTCAAAACCAATGCTAGATTTAAGCAATGTTTAATGGTGCAAGTTTTGCAAAATACAGTCAAAGTCATGATTTCAGCTCACTGCAGTTACAGCACTGAGGGAAGTACTGTCCAGAGAATGCTCTAGCAGTCCATAACTCACATCCCCTTCCTGCCCCTAGAACCTAGTTGCAAATAAGGAAGCAATTGTAAATGCTACAATAGCTGATACAAGAATAGTTTACAGGCCCCAAACCAGATAAACTTCTTTGCTGAGTCCTGTAATAGCTTCACTTGCAATAATAGCAGGGATATTACTCATCTGTCAAACTTACGTTCTTTATCTTATTCTACTTGTTTTCATGACAGAGACTGTAATTGTGTTTTAATAACACAACCTAAGCTACACTACAGCTCTAGAGTCATCCAAGGTCAAGAGGCAGCTGTGGCAGAAATGGCACTGAGCCTAGAGAATTACAGCCCTCTTGTGAACAATTGCATAAATAAAAAATTAGCTAGTCAACACATTATACAAGATTTTCTCCACACCTCCAACCGATTTGATGTAAAAAATCCAAACACTATTCAGCACTGACAAACCTGCTCAAGACTTTTAGACAGTGTTAAATTACCATTCACACAGGGCTTAAAGTCTTTAAGTAGCAGCAGGAGAGGTCACACAACTGTTGCTGAAAAGCAGGTTAATTCAGGTACATCTGACTCAGAATGTAATTGAGCCTCACTTGCTCTAAATGATACTGGCAGCCGGTGATTCAATTGGTAGCACTGCTTAAAAAAGCAGTTCCAGAGGCCAAAAATAGCCTGGG